CTGTTTCCATCGCTGATAGAGGTGCGATCTGCGGAACGCCACGGAGGCCAGCGAGAGTTACGGCACGGGGATTTGGGGAGGATAAAAGTCTGCCTTGGACAGATAGGGAAGAGTGGGAAGGAGGCCGCAGCGTTCTCCTCGCCCTCCAAGCCAGAGGCGAACTTTGTGTCCAGTGAGCACTTTAGTTTAGAGGGGGGCGGTCCCAGACCCAAGTTGGGTGAAAACCCTGCAGGGGGGCAAAAAAGTGAACCCCAACTTCTTGACGCGCTCTGCTATTAAACAGGCTCATAAAGCCTTTGTTCTCTACCCATCCATCCCCCTCCCATCCCCTTCGTCGGGCCGCTAGCCTGCCTTTGGGTATGGTATAGAGGGAGCTAGTTTCCAAGAGCCAGTTTCCATGGTTACCCACCACTTGGCCTTCTGGGATATCAGTCATTCTGAACAGGGACCTAACTTGAACCATGAATCAGAAGCAAACACAAGTGGCTTTTAATTCAGCTGAGAGTTTTCTGCTATGTTCTAGTTCTTCGTCTATTTAATAAAATTAGATTTTGTGCTTTGTAGGTATGCTTTGCATATACATTGCCTTGTGTTAGGCTTCCTTTGTCAGGTACTCTGAGCCATGCATTAGCAAACGCTCAAGTTGTTCGATTTCACTAAAAAGTTGTTTAGGGCTTATAAACCATTACTTACAAATTAGACATAGGTGATTTAATGGAGAAGTCATAGACTGATCTTTTCCAGCCCTAAAATTAATTTGTTTTCTCTCTTCATTTCTGGGAAATTGAGTCAGAGATATCTTTACAGACCTTTTAATTTCACAATTGTTTTCTGTTTTTACAGAAGAAAAAGGATGCACATCACAGGAGGGAGGAACTACTCCAACTTTTCCTATTCAAAAACAAAGAAAAAAGCTTATTCAAGCTGTGAGGGACAATTCATTCCTTATTGTTACTGGAAATACAGGAAGTGGTAAAACAACTCAACTTCCAAAATATCTGTATGAAGCAGGTAATTTTATTCTGGGATACTATTGGGAGTAATTGAAAAATATCCTCTTAAAGGCTATAGGACTTCTGTATTGCACAAATGCCCACCATTTGTTTTACAATCTTAATTCTTCTCTTGGCACACTCTCCCTACATCTTCCCTGCTTTATGGTTTTATTTCAGATTCAGAAAGTAATTGAGATGGAGATTTTTCTATTTTAATTTCCACAATAATCCCAAATAGAATTATAAGTAGATATTCTTTGCTATAGAATTAGTTTGTCTTGCAATAGACTATTAACCATTGGCTATTGAAATAATTTTCAGGGAGAAGGAATTTATCGATATCCGTTGTTGACATTAGTATTTCTTGGTTCTTTCTCCACAATGTTATCAGGTAAATATTTCTTGACTCTGGTATCACCAAGCCAGTTAACAAATTACCCTTAAAGTGTCTTTCATTTCATTATGGTAAAACTTTTGGAAGATTGGTATAATTATATTGGACGTTATTCATATAAAAATAACAAAAATTTCTTAGCTTATATTTATGTACTCTAATACATCAAACTTAAGAAGCCATCTATTAAGACGTATCATTATTTACATACTGTTAAAGAAAAAATGACATCAATTGTAAGATGCATCTTTCTTTCAATGATATTTAATATGGTAAAAAAATGCCTATGAATCTATGAAAGGTGGTATATTTAAGCTTCTATGGCAAGGGTAAATCTATTTTAGGAAGTGTGTGGAATTTTATGGACTTCTAACAAATTCTTGGCTTACTCTTTAGAGTAAATCTTTAGACTGGACTTGGAAAAAAAACCTAATTAAAACATGTACATTTTGAATGCTTATTAATATATATTCTCATTTTCAGTTAATACTTAAATTTCCATGATGCAGATGTAATACATTTTTATTACATTTGTTGTTAATTTGCAGTTTTCTTTTGGAAACACTTGAACAATTTGTATTGATCAACCAGAAACAATTTAGTTCTGATAGGAAGCAACTGTTAACATTTTTGTTTTTTACCTCTGGTTTTTATAGGATTTTCACAACATGGTATGATCGGTGTGACTCAGCCACGAAAAGTAGCTGCCATATCAGTTGCTCAGAGGGTTGCTGAAGAAATGAAATGCACTTTGGGATCCAAAGTAGGATACCAAGTTCGTTTTGATGATTGCAGCTCTAAGGTACGAAAGTTTTGTTGGTATTTGTTTAAGTACTGTAAACTTACAGAATGAGTGGAGGAAGTTATAAAAGATTTTAACTTTGAAATTCCATTTATAGTTTAATGAAACAAAATCTCAGATTAAAATTAATTTTTGTTGCCCATTGTTAACGTTTTAGCTTTGGAGTGTCTAATGTTTAACTCATTTTCTCCCTTCTCAATTGCTTCATAAGTGACACTTATGTTTATTTTTCTTAGGATTCTTAGGATTTTATGTTTTTCAGTTGTAAGGATCCTACCTGTAACTTACATTTGTATTTAAAAATTTTTTTATTGTAGTAAAATATACGTAACCATATTTACCATTTTAGCCATTTTTAGATGTACAATTCAGTGGCATTACATGAATTTACAATGTGTGTAACCATCACAACTGTATATTTTTAAAACGTTTTTATCATCCCAAACTCTGTATCTGTTAAACAGTAACTCCACATTTTCTTCTCTCCCGAGCCCCTGGTAACTTCTATTCTACTTTCTGTCTCTATGCATTTGCCTGTCTCATGTAAGTGGGATCATATAATATTTTGTCCTTTGCGTCTAGTTTATTTCCTTTTGCATAATGTTTTCAAGGTTCATCCATGTTGTATGTTTGTATTCTTGAAGTCAGTGGAAAACTGACAATTAACAAAGTCAGATAAAAAATGTTATATATTGAGCATCTTCTATATTCACTGTACTAACATTTAAAATTGTTTTCTTTTTAGTAGTTTATAATTACAGTTTATATTCTCTTAGGATTTCTTAATCCTATACCAGATACAAAACAATCCCTGATTTACATATGGTCCCTAATAGGGATGGCCATTAATTACGGCACGGAATGATTCCCCAAAATACTGTGGTTGCCCTCCTAGGAGTCAACTGCTGTGGTTTTTTTTTTCTTCCATTGTTTTATGGACATCACTACTGTTAACTCCTAGCCTTTGGACCTTATTCTCATCTTATTTTAATGGTAGTCAGTGGATACTTTTAACAAATAGAATGAGCAAGGAGGAAGAGAGTGAAAGGAAATTGTACATCTAACCATTTCCTTTACCTTCTCTCTTGAGTCTTCTAAAATAGTGGCTGAAATAGGGAGATGAATCCCATTTCATCGTTGTTACCCACAACTTTCACTTGAAACCATTTTATTATCTTAGCACTTTTCACCGACTTCATTGACTCCTTATTATTCACTTTTTTTGCTTTATCCCAGAACATCTACCTTAGTTCCTTATCCCCGTCTCTGTATACATCACAAGTTTCATGCTTTGCTATTCTTGTTATTAGACTATTTCATGTATTTATTCAGTCATATTAGTTTGATCATTTAATGTCTGTACATTTGGGGGAATTTAGTTTGTGAAGCAGGGGTGAATTTCTGCGATACTATATATATATATGTATATATATATACATACATACATATATATATAAATGAATTGATATACTATGTTGTTTGACTATTAGGAAACAGCAATCAAATACATGACTGATGGATGTTTGTTGAAACATATTCTGGGAGATCCAAATCTTACCAAGTTCAGTGTCATTATTTTGGATGAAGCCCATGAGAGAACTCTAACTACAGTAAGTATTTTAATATATTGGTTATTTATTAGACAGATTACTTTAGGGTAGCTTTTTGTATAGAGAATTGCCTCCTCTTGCTTACATTTTAATCCGTTGAAATAGGAAGTCTTTGGTTAGGAAAGCAAAATATTTAAAATAAATTGGTTATTAGGCATACTTGTGACTTATTACAAATTTACTTTTCTTTCAGGACATCTTATTTGGTTTATTGAAAAAGCTATTTCAGGAGAAGTCTCCTAATAGGAAGGAGCATTTAAAGGTCGTGGTGATGTCAGCAACTATGGAATTAGCCAAGCTCTCTGCATTCTTTGGAAATTGTCCAATATTTGATATACCTGGAAGGCTTTATCCAGTCAGAGAAAAATTCTGCAATTTGATCGGCCCACGAGACAGAGAAAATACTGCATATATTCAAGCGGTATTACTTGGCATCCTTTTTTGACTTTTTTATATCTGTGATTCTAGTTGATTGAGTAGTTTAATAATTCACTTATTCCCCATTGTTTTAAGGGCAGCCCTCTTAGATCCTAGGACTTTTGAGACCCAAATTTAATTTTTTTGTGGAAAAAGGGGAGGTAGAGGTGGGAGATGATTGTATTTCCACTAGCATATTATGTTTGTATATCTTGCTTTAGATTGTGAAAGTGACCATGGATATCCATTTGAATGAAATGGCTGGAGACATCTTGGTCTTTCTGACTGGTGAGCATTCAGTATCAGGTTTAATTTTACTATTTTTAAGAAGAGATATGGCACCACGATAGAGTGTTCTCTTTGTTGGGAAATCTGCGCTCTCCTCAATGTTGCCCTAGCTTTTTATGATAATTTAAATAGCTTTAGATTTTATATCTTATATAAGGTATATAAGATAATTCTACGCTGCCATTAAAAATGCCAATCTTACTAGTAAACATATCTAAAACACACTGACTTTTTAGTAGAAAGATATTATATGGTAAAGTATTAATCTCTTTATTAGTCTGTCCTATGTAGAGGTATTACCACACTAAACAGTCCTGGAGCTGAATGGTTAATTCCATTATTTCAAAAGACATCCTGGAACCAGCTCCTTTCTTCTTTGAATGGTGAGATGATACTGTATGATAGCAGTACATAAGATGTAGAATTTAGGTCTCATAGACAAGACTTTTTTGGAGGTCAAAAATAGATTAGTTAAATCTCAAATTAATTTGGTTCTTCAAGTAGCAGCATCCTACTAACAGAAATGAGTCATTTCATCACTCACCTCCTACTCTGCTTTGTACTGATGTCAGAAGTGAGACATTATAACAATCTCTTTGCCCTTTGAGGTTACTTAAGTATTTTGAAATCCACCTAAACACAGTATCTTTGGGATTAGATTCCCTTATTTTAATGATGAACTTTACTGCGTCTTCCTCAAATACCATGTTAAGATGAAAGGCTTGAAGATTATAAACATTTTTATTCCTTTAGAAATTTAAATTCTGAGAAACTTGTGTTCTATTTTTTTATTGTATTGTTGAGATTTGGTACAACTTATATGTTCATCTCCTTCAGATCAAATGAGAGATTTAAAATAACTATTATGCAAAACTGATTTTAATCTAGAAGGCTTTTAAAAAAATTCATATTTTGCTGTTCAATTGCTGGTGTTATTTTCTCCCCTCATTTTAGGTCAGTTTGAAATCGAAAAAAGTTGCGAGTTACTTTTTCAGATGGCAGAGTCTGTTGACTATGATTATGATGTTCAAGATACCACTCTAGATGGCTTGTTAATATTGCCGTGTTATGGATCTATGACAACAGGTAATTCCTCACTCGAATAGAAAATTTGACTTGATTTTTTAAAAACTTTTTATTGAATAATCACATAAGTACAGAAAAATATACTTATCCTAAGTGTTTAGGTCAATGAATTTTGCAAACCGAACTCACCTTTGTAACTAACACCCAGGTCATGAAACAGAACATTAAGAAAATGGGCATCTCTTGAGAGAAGTGATTTTTTTTCTTGAAGTCTTCACATTTACTTTTTCGAGAGCCTTGGACACTTTAGTATTGTTAGGAGTGGACTATGTCTTCTCCCAGGAGAACAAAAATAGTGTTGGCGATTTTTTGAAATAAGGGCTATAATTTCTTGATAGTAGTACCATAAGTCAAACCTTATTTGTCATGGTCACACAATTTCTATAAATTACACATATTTAGTTATATCAGACTGAACACAGTGGAGTTTTTTCTAAGTAGCCACTTATTAGTCTACTTTTCAAGAATAATGCTATTCTTTTGTAAATTCAAAGAGCAATTGCAAGCTCCTATTCTGGTATTTGTTCATAATGAATGTCATTAATGAGATTTAGTTTGTTTTGTAAAACTATTTTATTATGGAATTTGATTTGTAAAACTCAAGGGGAAATTAACCATAGCCTCCTATTTAGAGTTTGATTGGGATTAGCATTTAATGTAATGTAAAAAGCATTTAAATGCTTTTATATTTTATGTTTATTTTTGGGTTTTTTTGAGTAGGTGGTTCTTATATTAACAAAAGAAGTTCAGGAATATCTGTGTTGGTTAAATAACTATAGACCACATGCTATTTTGGAAATCTCTTTTGTCATTATATTAGGCCCTTGCTCTCAATATTGAAATCTATTTTTAGGTTTTTATATCTTAAAGGGGATTCTTAGGGTTATTATTAGATATTTAAAGTTCTCATTGTTTTCTGGGGATTTGATCCACTGACTCATAATTTACTTTGTAACTGACTAGGTAATTTAAAACCATTACAGATGCTTTGTTAACCATTAACTATATATTTTTTCTATATAAAGTAAATAATTTCATTGTTTTTTACTGCCACATTGAAAATAATATTTGGTATTTGCTATTGCTTCTTGTTTAATGTCTTGAAATCCAATTTTTAAACTATTAGAGGTTGCTAGTAATCTATTTCTCAAATCTCACGGCTGTTTTTTTCCCCATTAGTTTGTATTTTGATTTTGTGATGATAATAAGTCTTCCTGAAATGCTGTCTTCTGGGATACTATTTAATTATCTGGTTCTCCTGACCAGTCTTTCTCTAAGGTTGCTGCCTTCCCACCCTCCCTAGCCTTTGTTCCCTTCTAAATTTGAAAATATCCCAAGGTTTCATTCTTAGCTTGCTCTTTTCTTAGAATTTTCTTTTTTGGTGAAGTTGGCTCCTAGGACTCACCTGTCACTTCTCTGTAGGTGAATCCTGAAAGCTGTCTCTATTTCAGACTCACTCCTGTGGCCTAGACTTCTTGGGTCTTCTCACAGGGCTTTCTGGTCTGCATTTTATCACCCTAGATCATTCAATCCAAGCAAGTGGCAACTCTTACAGGATTTGTTTTACTCTCATTTTAACTAGCTCATTCATTCTTCTTTTTCCTTTTTAGCCATCTCTGTTAGAGTTGGAATCCTCAGTGTGCTTTCCTGAGTTGTTAACAAAGTTACCATCCTACATAATCTTCCAAAAGCACAACTCTGATTGTGTCAGTCTCCTGTTGGGTATCTTCAGCTATTTCTTATTACCAACTGAATTAAAATGCCTGTTTAATAATTTGGCATTCATTATCCTTCCAGCATGACTTTAACCTGCTTTTAGCCTTAATTCCCTGTATATGTGATTTTCTGTGATGGCATATATGTATAAATGGTAAAGATATGGCACTGAGTGTGATTAGAGCCATTACTGAGGGGTTTTGTTCATTTTAGTTTCTTTTTTCTGGTTCCAAGGACTACTGGTGATCTACTATGAGCATAGTAATATTTATTACAGCAGTTTATAACAGTGCAAAGAGGCATTCAGATGTAGCTGATGAGGTACTGAGCAATGGGAAGGTGGAATTGGATGAAGTATGGAGAGTGTCAGGTTCCTTTCCTGGGACCTTAGACTTTCTTTTTTAATATAATATAGCACTTATTTGCTTTATTATTGCTACTTAGGGTGGTGGGGAGACACTATTATGTTATTTCCTTTATTTCCTATTATGCTTCAGGAACAGAAAACTTGAACCTACGAATGAGGAGAGGGAAGAAGAGTTTCCTGCTTGTAGCTTGTAGTGAAGGGAGTTCAAAAATGACCCATATCTAGGTTTAGTGAATAAGTAAAAATTTTATATTTGCTCTTATTTCTGGGTTAGTTATGAGAGTGACTGACTATTTTAAAGAGACATCTTAAAATATATTCTTAATTGATGTAAGAAATTCTCATCTGTCAAATGTCAAGTGGTACTGTGGCATCCTTTCTACTGCCAAGGTTACAGATCCTGTTCCCTGGGCTGAGCTCTCCCAACCCCCAGCCTTCACAATGTTCTCTCAAGCTTGAAATGTTCATGGTATTTTTTATTCCTTTTCCTCCCACATCTTTTTTTGTGACTGTGTTTGCTATTTCTTAAGTTGAACTCCTCCTTTCCCTTTTATTCCTCCCTCTCACTGGCTGAAATCCTGCTATTTTGTTTCACCAACTCCATAAAAACCTTTCCTGATTTCCCTCCTCACAGCTGGCTTTGATCTCTTCTTCATTTGAACCTCATGTGCTTTGCTGTACCTCTTGTGGCACCTAACACATTCTCCCTTGTGTTATGGTCGTCTCATCCTCTTTATGAGATTGTGAACTTCTTAAGGGCAAGTACAATATGGTGAAAAAGTCCTGATTAAATAATTGTTAAACTGAGTTTCAGACTTTTTATTTTCTGAGGGCCTTTCTGTTAATGTCTTGCATCAAACACTATATCTAGAATCCTATTCTTGTTTCCCTTCAAACTTTTTTGCTTTTTGACTTCCTTCTTTGGTTCAAGGTATTGCAGTTCCTTCTTTGGTTCAAGGTATTGCAGTTCTTTGGTTCAATTTTTTTTTTCCCATGGTTCGAAAGTTGAATCCCACAAAAATTTATGAACTGAAATATACTTGTTACTACATAAGTGACAAATATTTACATGGAATTAGAAAATTTAGCACTGAAAGTAATTGTTTCTTAGCCTCTGTTGGAAGGTAGGGTCGCAGATTCTTTTAAAATGGTAATGAAAGTCATGGCTTCTTTCTTTAGAAAAATGCACATATACCCATGTATATGTTTTTGCATAATTAGACTTCTTTATTTTATAGATAGAGGCTAAATGATGTTCCTGAGGTCACATGGTAAATATGTATTTGATAACTGGTTATTTATTCAGTAGTAGGTGATAAAAGAGTACATGGTGCTTCCAGAATACATGAAGAAAAGAAAAGGAGCCTTACCTTGAATTAGCGTAAAACATTTTAAGAGGAAAAACTGCTCATTTAGATTATTGCATAAGTCCCAAAATATTTTTATTTCTTCTCGTAAAGCAAAGACATTACCTCAATATGGCAAGTACTTAGAATTTGACTCTGTCTACAATAGTTTCCTTAAATATTAAGATTAAAACTGGGAGGAGGGGAGAAAGGCTACTGAGCTTCACATAAAAACTCTTACTCTTATGTAGAGTCTTCCCAAATGGGAAAAAATTTTTTATCTTGTAAGGAAATACATACTTTAAAAAAATAAAATAAAATTAGGAAAGTAAGAAAAATAATTAAATTTACTCAGATCCTGCTAATATGGTTAAGTTATAATCACTATTAATGTTTCCAGGTATGTTGTTATGAACTTTTCTTTATACATTTGAATGTATTTTTATTGTTTAGTTTTTGAAACAAAAATGAGATTGTCATATATCCTCTTTTATGTTTTTCTTTTTGCCCTTTGTAAAATGTTAAAAGTATAAAAAAGTACAAAAAAACGAATTTCCCACTATGAAGAATTAATACATTGTTAGTTTTTGCTCGTTCCATTAAAGAAAAACCTGTTCTAATTTCCTTTAAAGAAAAATTACTCAATTGAGGAAAAATTATAATTTCATTATAAAGAATTCAAGCAGTGTACAAAGTTACAAAGGTAAAAGTAAAGAAATCACCTCAAATTCTTCCATCCAGAAATAACCTTTCTTTAAATAATCTTTAATGTTAGGAAAACCATTATTCAGGTTTACGTGTGTGCACATGTGTATACATATAGAAGGATAAGGAAATAGGTAGGTTGATAGAAATGCTTTTTAAAAGTGAGATTATACTATTGCTTTTTAAAAAGGTATTTTACTTGAATTTACTTGAAAGAATTGTCAAACTTCAAGTAAATCTTAATCACATTTTATAAAATATTGCTTTAAAGTTTAAAAAGCTGAAAAATGTTAAGCTGAAATGAATATCTTTTTAGACTGTCTAATAATTGATTAGAGATCTTATCTGTTGATTCTCTGATTGGAAAGATGAGAGCTTAAGTACTTTTACTATTCTATAGCCTCTCCTTATTTTTGTTATCTTTACATAATTCAGAAGTATTCGGTTTTACTGTCTTTTTTTTTTTTTTTTTTTTTCCCATGGTTCGTTTATTCTTAAGTTACTTTTGGTTAATTTTATATTGGCTAGATTTTAACTTTTTTTTAATAGAAGGGCTCTTGAGTGTTATTTTTTGTTGTTCTTTTATGTTTGAGAATGTCTGGCTTTTGCCTTTATACTTGAACTACATCTTGGCTGGGTTTTATGTTCTTGGGTCACACTTTCTTTTCCTTAGAACTTGGTAGACGTTTTCCAGTTGTCTTCTGGCATTGAATGTTGCTGCGGAGAAGTCTGAGGCCAGCCTGATTTTTTTTCCCTCCTTGTAAGTGATTTGCTTTTTCTGTCTGATTGCCTGAAAATTTCTGTTTTTATCCTTAATGTTTAATAGTTTTAATTAGGATATTTTTTGGTGCTGAGTGTTTTATATTAAAATTTCCTAGAACTTGATGTGCTCTTTTAAAAAATCAATTTTATTGAGATAATTTACATACAATAAACTATGCCTGTTTTAAGCATCACAGTTCAGTGAGTTTTTGACAAATGTACATGCCTATGTAAACACAACTTCAAACAAAATGAACTTTTTTGATGTACTCTTTTGATCTGCAAGTTCAATTCCTTATTTCAGGGAAATTCTCTTGTATTATGTCTTCAAATATAACTTGTCTAATTATTGGTTTCTCTGCCTCAGGGATGCCAATTATTCTTATGTTGGATTGCCTATCTTCCATATTTTTTAGCTTCTTTCTAGTTACTTTAACTTTTTCAATTATATTTACTTATTATCTCAAAACTTTTCTCTGTGTCAGGAATTTTATTTTTAGCTGTGTTAGTGAGAATTCTCAAGATATTTTGGACTCACCCGAAAATCACTTACAGGGCAGTTTGAGCTGAGCAGTGTTTTACCTCTTCATTCTGCTCCAGAATTGTCCTCTTTTCCCCCCTTTAATTGATGGCTTCTGTTTATTGCTTTAAGTTATATTTCTTTTATTCTCTCTCTCTCTCTTTTAACATATTTTTGCTTTGGAATCTTTTTGGGGTAATTTGGGATAAGAAATTCTTTGAGGACGTTTCAGTTGGCCTTAATATATAATATGTCATAGACATATATCTTAAGAGGATTACTCTATTAAGAGTGTTGAGTGGACTGTCTTCAATATCCTTATTTCTTGGTAGACTTTGGAATATTTTTCTGCCTCTTTGCCCATTTTCTTCTGTTATAAAATCCAGGTATCTTATTGGGTACTGGTATAGATGGGATAAAGTATATCAGAATCTTTCTTAGGTAGGAAAATCAGGGAATGGAAGTAATCAGGAGAGTTACTACATCTTAATGAAAGTATTCAATTTCTCTTTTTCTTCCTGGAGAGTGAGAACATACTTTAAGATATATGTATTTAACTTTTTCCAAATCGTAAATCTGGCATTTGTTTATACTTGTGTAATATGGTGCTACAGTGTGTGGATAAAATGTAAATGTGAAACAAACATGAGCCCTATCAAAACAGCAGTTTCAAGACTTTTTAATTGATTATAATGAACAAAATGGTAAATGTAAACAAATTTTGCTTAAACTAAAGACTAAAACAAATTAGGTACTTTCAGAAATGGGTTGATTGAAAAACAAATTTGGTTATAGATAAATATGTTCAGAAAGGGCATTTTCGTTAGATATGTAAATTTTTAGCGTAATGTGGAATTTTAAAGGTAGAAAGATCTTTATTATTTATCTAATGCATTTTTAATTTATTAATTCATTCAACTTTACTGAGCACTTTCTTTGGTCCAGGCATTATTCTAGGTACTGGTGATGTCTCATATAAAAAAAAATTCTTATTCTCATAGAGCTACATTATAGTAGAATAAATAGACATGAAATAAATGTATAAGCATATAATTTGAATTACAAAGTAGTATAAAACTCTTTTGAACCATCTACTTAAATCTAAGAACTACTAAAAAGTAATTTTTAACACGGTTTTCACTAGATTCTTTGAATTTGAAAGAAATAGACCTTTTTGGAATTATTTTTATATCAAACTTCTCTACAGGTGTCTTTTATAAGCTGCCTCTCTACTACTTTTTTATTTGAGAATTTAATTTTGGAATGATGTAGAAGAATAGCAATATTACTCAACTTTTTTTTTTTTTTTTTAAATTTGCCTGTCTGTGTGGGTAAGCCACTTGATCTTTGGGCTTTAGTTTTCCCATCTATAAAATAGATGGTTGGCTTAGTTCCGTGATTTTAAGACTGTGCTCATTGTTCCATTCCTTTTCTCTCTCATACTAGTTGAACTTTTGTCCGTTTTATATGTTGGGAACACAAGGATTTTTGTAAGATTTTATTTGAATAAAGTACAACATACTTTGTACTTTATTCAAAAACAAGTTTTGTTAGGATTTTCTTGGCTGCTGAAAAGAAGAAAACTTGAGGTTGCTCAAGTAGAAAAAGTGAATTTTCTACACAAATGTGGGTGTATCTCATGGAAATAAAATGTAGCCAAGGCATTTAAATTTTTTTCTTTTAAAAATACATATTTACTTACTGTTCTAATATGAAATGTGTAATATAAACACACATATGATAAAAAGTTTAAAAGGATGTTATGGAAAATATAAATAGAAATGCTGATAATTTCTTTTCATCCCCCAATAGATTGATTTGTGTACTCCCTGGAACGATTATTCCTGATTCATGGAGATCACTGAAATGGAAGATCCCCCGAATCCCCCCTGAATCCCTTGCTTGGAAGTTCCTTCACCTCTTTTGGCTGCAGTGATCTTTTCCTTCAGCCCACTTCAGCCACCCATTCAAAAGCTTATGTCCTAAACTTTATCATTACCATGATTTCTGATCTCAGGTTTAAACATCTTTCTAATGATTACTTCCTGTTTCTGCCTACTCGCTGTACTGTTCCTAATTCAACAGGTTTCAAAATGTGCTGAGACTTGTCCTTTACCAGCCTCCACTTATTTCCTTTCACTTATACTGTAATCATTTCCTTGTAGATATTCTTAACTCTCTTGTTCAGTTTTCTGCTTAACCTGGCAGGAGAGGAAGTCTGGTCAAATCCTTCCTTCCACTTGTTATACACACAGGCCTCTTAAGGCCTGGGAAATGCCCGGAACCCAGGAATACTCTTTTCAACTCTCATGACTGATTTTTTTTTTTCTCTCTTTAGACTAGCTTTCTCTTCTTTATGTACATTAGTCACTTTCTATGGTTCACAAGCTTAGTTTGCAAAGGACTAGCCTAATTAAATTGAGCATCTCTTGGACCTATTCCAGATTCATGGGAGAATCAGATTGGTCCAGTTTGGGACAGGTGTTTATTTTTGGTACCATAAACTATGGCCAGAGGAGTAAGGTACCATACTACAAGCATTGCACTTGGGGCCCACCCTTCAGAATGTGTGCATTGTGGAAATGAGTGTGATGTTACTTGTTTAGAAAGGTAGTCATGATACAGAAAAAGTAAAAGCCGTTTGGCTAATCGATCTTTAAGGCAAAGAGAGGTCTTTAATTAGTAATCTATGGATGAGCTTCAGAGAGTCCTTGAACACCCTGAAATTGTTTGAAAACATTTTTTTGTGTGTACATATGTGCCTTTAATGAGAAGAGGTCCACAGTTTTTTAATAGGCTCAAAGGGATCTGTGACCTACATAAAAGACTGCTGTAGGGTTTGTTTTAGCAATCTGTGATTCCATGGACCTAGAAATCTTAACAGTGAAAGGTGAGGCAAAAGTAGTTTTTGCTATTAATATTTTGAATTCAAGATAACTAAAGAGGTGAAAAAATACATCCTTTAATGAAAAGAGTTTTTCAAAACAAGTTTGACAAATACATGTTATAAATTAGTATTTTCTCTTTATATGTATTTTAGATCAACAGAGGAGAATATTTTTGCCACCTCCACCTGGAATTAGAAAATGTGTCATATCCACCAATATTTCTGCAACATCTTTGACAATAGATGGAATCAGGTACAACTTTTAAAATTTCTTGTAAAGCCAGAGAAGCCGCTTAGCTAATCATAAAACATTGAGTTTGCTTCTCTGTTCCCTCTACTAATTCTCACCTGCTTAACTTGTAATCATCTACCATCTTTTAAAAATTATTGATAACTATTGACTAGTAAGAGGTGTACATAATATATTCCTGTTTACACTTTTTAGCTATTCATACTTGGCAATTTGTAGCTTTCTCTTCCCACATTTAAGAGTATGCATAGTGTTTTATGGGTTTCACTGAATAGGAAGCCAGATCTGTTTTTCTATCCTCCCATTACCAGCATGTTCCTAAAATGATCTGATACTCTGTTTTCACCTGGCAGCTCCACTTTGTAGAGTGAGGTTATATATCGAAGTGTTTATTGGAAACTACTGTTTCTCACTTTTTACTTTTTTGTGAAATGAACTATGATCCAGGTCTCTTTTTTAACATAATCAATGATGTCATGAAATTTTTGAGTAGATATAGTAGAGAAACACTTGGAAATTTTAAATCTAGACTGATAGCTAATGTGAAGTTTTTTCAGACTCTTGAACCACATCCGTTTTGGATATTTATTTTTTTACCCAATTTATGTTCTAAACTATGTCTGCAGTTGGAAGGCTGCACCTGAATCCCCAAAATCCTATATTATTTCTTTTGGGTAAAATGATCACTTAGATCTGAGAGGAAGTTTAATTTCCTCTCCTTTTCTCCTTTACTTTAAAAATAATAGTTTCATTAAGGTCTTAGGGGAGCAGCTTTCCTGAGTAAATTGACCTCTGCAATTTTCTGTTTCCAGCAAAGGCAGAATTATTAAATTGTGTGTTTCAGACTGTTGCTTTAGTGAACGATAGACTTTACTGCTATTCTTAATTTTTTTTTTATTTGACTTGTTCTCTGTTTAATTGGATTAAAATATTATTGTTAAAGAATGGTTGGAATTAGATTCTGAACCTGTTAGAATGGTCTAGAGATGACTTTCCATTTTGTTTTTTTAGAGGAGAAATTCATATAACATAAATTAACACTTAACAGTGAATAATTAAGTAGTATTTAGTACATTTACAACATTGTGCATCCACTGCCTCTATCTAGTTTTAAAACATTTTCATCACCCCAAAATAAAACCCTATAACCTTTAAGCAGTTACTCAGAATATGGTGTATATTTTGTTTTATGTATATACCATAATTTGTTCATCCATTCATTCCTTAATGGGCAGTGGACATTCAAGTTGTTTCTACCTTTGGCTCATAGTGCTCTTAGTACTACTGTGAACATATATCTACAAGTATTTATTGAGTACTGTTTTTAGTTCTTTTGCGTGTATACTTAGGAATAGAATTTCTGGGTCATATGATAATTCTATGTTTAATATTTTGAGGAAACTCCAAACCGTTTTCCACATTGGCTGAACCATTTTATATTTCTACCAGCAATGTATGAGAATTCCAAGTTCTTGACTTTCAAGTTCCACAGTGAACATAAAAGTCATCATGTAGTTGTTAGTTTGGTGGAAAAGGAGAACCCAAAGTGGTTGAAAATTAACAAATCTTTTTTTTATTTTCTAGAGACTTAACTTGTTTTCATTCTCCTTAGATATGTGGTAGATGGTGGTTTTGTGAAGCAGTTAAATCACAATCCTAGATTAGGGTTGGACATCCTGGAGGTGGTTCCAATTTCAAAGTAAGTCTTCATGTCAAGCTTTTTTTGTTTAAAGAATAGTTGATTAGATAATTTCTAGTTGGTTTGGGGATGGAAAGTTAATTACTTAGGAAACTCACAGAACATTTTGGGAACTCGCGTTTTTTTCTTCTAAAGGAGTGAGGCATTGCAACGAAGTGGCCGAGCTGGCAGAACTGCCTCAGGAAAATGCTTTCGGATCTATAGTAAAGATTTTTGGAACCAGTGTATGCCCGACCATGTGATCCCTGAGATTAAGAGAACTAGTTTGACGTCTGTAGTTCTGACCTTAAAGTGCCTTGCCATACATGATGTTATAAGGTATGTAGATAACTTAAAAAAAATTTGTTAGAATGGAGTCAGGTTATTCTTCAGAAATTCTTTTAAAGTATTTGACTCAGTCATCCCTACACCCCTACTAGACCCTAATAAAAGGGTTCCTTATGTTGCTTTACTGGAATTTTATCCCTTGCTCATATTTTAACCTTGGCTTATTGGGGTGCCTCATGCTGATATTACTTGGATCATTTAGCGACCATTGTTTATCTATTATGAAAGGTATATAATGACCCTAATTCCAGCTAGAAAGTGGGGTTTTTTTGGTACCATCTTTTGTATGGCCAGCGTTGTACTACGCACTGTAAGAGACAGAGTAATACTCTATAGTGGTTTTTTGCTTCATGAAGAACAGCTGTTAAATAGTCAAACGTTAATCTATATAATTAATTGGTACAGTACAGAATATTATTGTAGGGAATTAAAATTTCACATATACGTGGTAGAGGAAGTAATGAAGGAAAGTACAGCCTTGTTCTTATTTTTCATAATTATCTGGGAATGTAAAAGTGTCAGGAACTTGGGCAGAGATAACCACACATTGTTTAAATTCATAGTAAGAAGGGAAGTAATTACTAAATGCATCCAAATATGTATTGCAAAGCCAATTAAAAAGTTTTTTTGGATAGTTATTATCATAAGATGAGATTTTCTAAATGAGAATACAAATTCTAGAAAGAGGAAAGCCTGTAAAATATGAAATTCCAATTTTAAATGATACCAAGGTAAAAGAAGAGGCATTTAAAGAAACTAAATGGCCTAACAGCTTTCAGATGAACCCAGATTTAAATATAATGTTCACTAAGGATAGCAGAGCAGCATATAAGCAAGAATAAATATATATTAGAAAAATAGGAACAATAATTACTTAGTATCGTCTGTACTGAGTTATTTTTCTATCTTAAGTTTTCAAACTTAGACTGTACTAAAAGTCCCCAAACTAGAGGAAAAGAAAATAAAAAGACTTCTCTCCCTTTTCTCTTTAAGATGTGCGTAGAATAAGGAGAGATAGAACCAGTATTTGGGATAGATGGCATAATATTCGGGATAGATGGCATAGTATTCATGGGTGACAGAAAGAAAATGGAGCTTTTCGGTTATTTTTGTTTCCTCTTTCTCTTTCATCAAAAATTATTTTAGTCTACGGCCATGCCACCCTGAACAAGCCCGATCCCGTCTGATCTTGGAAGCTAAGTAGGGTCGGGCCTAGTTAATACTTGGATGGGAGACCACCCAGAAAGACCAGGTGCTGTGGGCATAAAAAAGAATTAAAAAAATAAGGGATTGTAAGCTGACAAGGTCCTTGCAATCTGTGAGGTCAACCAAGGGTTGCCTTGCCTAAAAAAAAAAATTAAAATTATTTTAAAACTGGAAAGATAAGTACAAGTCTAGATAAGGAGGAATTGATGGCCAAGGTAGATTAGAAAATGATGAGAGAAAACCTAACCACTATAAATGAGTCTGTCTTGAGGCTTTAGAAATTATTTCCATGGTACTAAAAGAAATTGCAGATTTAATGTCAGATGTATTGTGGGTTGTCTTTGAGAAATTGTGCAGATCAGAAAATTGTGAGAAATGCAAATGTCTTGATCTTACCATTTAGAAAAAGAGCAAATTCTAGAAACAACCGTCCTGTAAGGTTGACATTGATTCTTAGCAGATTCTAGCATAGTTTACTGGAAAATGGTTTAATAGAATTTAAGGTGATTTAGAATAATCATTTTAAATCAAAATGGTTTACAAAGAATGTGTCATTTTAAACCATTTCCTTTTCAGTTTGAAAATAGAACCATCCACATAATGGGCGCATCACAAGAATTTGTTGAATGATAACCTAACATCTCTTGTTTTCAACACAGTATTTAACAAGATCACATTTGACATCTTTGTTAATAAGGAGGTTACAGTACTGCTGAATAGTGTATAATTGCCAAATAGCCAATTCAGAAAGTATTGATTAATTGCTTAGTGTAGCCTAGGTGGAGGTTTGACTGGTAGAACTTTACTGGTTGAACTTTGCTCTATCCTAATGAGCATTTTTAATGAAAATATTAAATAAAGATATTGCAGTCTTTATCAGATTTCTGGAAAACGTCTTGATATCTAATCGGTAGATGATTAAAACCAAGAATTAGAGTGATCTCAATAGGCCAGAACAGTGGGCAAGAATCAACAAGGTAAAAGTCTGAAAGGATACATCTTGTATCCTGTATTTTGGTTGCACATTAAAAAATTAACGTGGAAAATATCTGAAATTACCAGATTACCACAAACTTAATATGAATTTGCAATTATTATTCTGTTTAAAAAACAATTTTATAAAAATCCCAACAGTGTAGACTTTGGTTATATTAATAGACAGCAAAGTCCAGATGACTGGGGATTATAGCATTCCTGTTCTGTGTTGGTCACTCTACATTCGGAGTTCACTTTTGGATATTATTATGTTTTATGACAAGTTCGACAAATTAGAGTGTTTCTAGAAGATGGTAATTAGGTATGGTGGGTCTTTTAGAAACCAAATAATATAAGGAGTGCTTGGCAGTTTGGGAATCGGGATAATCAAGAGAGAAAAATAATTGTAGTTTTTACAAATCCGAAAGGGCTCTTATATAGAAGAGCAAGCTGACTAAGTTGCTATTGCTCTAGGATAGGGGTCACAAACTATGATCTAGGCTCACTGACAGTTTTTGTAATTAAAATTTTATTGAAACACAGCCATGCCCATTCATGTATGGTTGCTTTTGCTACAATAGCAGAGTTGAGTAATTGTGACAGAGACCATATGGCCTGCAAAACCAAAAATTTACTGTCTGGCCTTTTATAAAAAGTGTTTGCCAACTCTTGTTCTAGAAGATACCAGGACTTATTGGTACAAGTTGCAGGAAAGCTGACCGTGTAACAGTCTATGAGATTTTTGTTTGTTTTTAAATGAGTTGTCAATTCTGGAATAGACTTGTATAAGGTATTGGACCTTTTGCCCTTGGTTGGACCTTTTTTAAAGTGTGAAATTGGAGTAGATGATTTATTATCTTAAGACTTATGGTAGAAAAAATAATCTAGTGCAGAAAATATTATTAAAAGTGTGTATGTATGTATTTATGTATGTATGTATTTTCCTTTGTGAATATTATTAATTGTCCTAAGTTCATTAATGGTATTGCAGTTATGTAAGAATGTGTTTATTTTCAGGGAATGCATGTTAAAAGTATTTTGGAGGTGAATTAGCACTGTATTTGCAACTTGCCTTCAGATAGTCCAGGAGAAAATAAGTACATACACATATACATAAAGCAGATATGGTAAAATTAATTGAATATATTTAGCATTTAATCAAAAGCCATTTTGAAGTACTGTCAAACAATTTGTAATTTTTGGCCACTTTCAATTAATTTTTCTCCACTGCTTTATAAAATCATAATAAAAATTGTAGACTGCAGAACAGAGTAGAGATGACATTGCCTATGAAGAATGGGGCAGGATTAAGATAAATAAAGAGGAATGACGAGAGTAACAGCTAAGGGAGATCGAAAGGAAGTGCTTCTTGAATTAATAGAAGAGTATAATTCAGAAAAAATTACTTCTTTGCTGAATGCTGATCATGATCATAGAATGTTTTTTAAAAAAAAGAACTTGAAAAATAGGAGAGGTAAAACCTTTTAAAGAAATTTTCAAGTCTGTATAAAATCTTACTTTGTTCAAGGAATGGAAACTTATTTTACATCTCATGTTCACGCACAGGTTTCCCTATTTGGATCCACCTAATGAGAGACTTATTTTGGAAGCTCTTAAACAACTTTACCAGTGTGATGCTATTGACAGGTAAAAACAAACAAACAACTCCCCCCTCCAAAAAAAAATCCAACCACAACAGATATTAATCTCTTTTTTAAATGGGTTCTTAATACTTTCTTTTATAAGTAGAAAATGATTTGTTTGAATTGAATGGATTGTTTTACTTGAAATTAGAAATTGTCCTCAGTCTTTCTTCACCCCAGTTCTGAATTTAAAAATTACACCATAAAACTTTTTGTTTAATATTGGTATTATTTAACAAGTAATTTCTGAGTACCACTTCAGTGTCATGCATTATTCTGGGTACATCAAAATGATAAGAGAGCTGGAGTC